CTTTTCTTTACAGCTCACTCACAGGCAAAGCTGAATACAACAAAATCCACCTCTCTAAATTCTCAACCATATTACCAGAACAATACCGCAAGTCTCATCGTGTTTCACATTTTTATCCCATAAGGGATTGTGCTGAAAGCTTTTTCAGAATTAAAGAGATTTTATTGACTATATCATCTAACATAAACAACTGCCTTGTGTACGGTCATATAAAATGAGACGATCATTAACTATATCTATTGCAATTTTTGTTGTGGTTCTAATTAGTGTGGCAGCTACAGTGGGTCTCGTTATCGGTTTACACAAACGCAATTCTACAATTCCAGATTTATCAACAAATACTATTTATTATGGTGTTAAAGACATGAAACTAATGGATATCGACAGTCTGCGTGTGTTTGGAGTCAAGGATTTCAATGGTAATATACAAAGCGTACATGCTATTCAGACAAACGCTTCCATATATATGCTGGATAATGATTTAATCGACCAGATACAAACTGAAGGATATACTCTCTTATTTAACTATAACTATACTATTAATGAGTACTACGTTATGTTTATTTCGGAGAATAATTCGTATCAGATACCATCCACGTACAAAATTCCGACTGTAAAATTTCCAGATATCGAGTTTGAATATCCTAAAGATGCTAATATGTCTAATCCTTTTACCGGTCTTGTCATCGAATTAAAGGATAGTGTGACAGATACGTTGATTGATGATGCTATTTTACAATTTAACTATCATGATAGTCAATATGGCAATAAAAGTGTGACCATGATTGATACAGGTGCTGGACGATACTATGCTCTATTACCTACTGTTGATAAAGAAATAGCTCCATATTTCGAGACGAAAAATTTATATGCAACAGTTTCTCAGCAAAGTGATTCTCTCATTGAATTACTACAAGTTTATCCCATAGATGATATAACGTGCGTCAAGAAAGTCTTCGTACAAAATTGATATTCAGTATTTATTGGTATAGAGCGACATCTATTTTTATGTTTGTATACTGGCGGATGAAGTATCGAAAGCACCGTTAATATTTGAGTGATAAGCGTTGATATTACTAATCTGTCAAAAATGACAAGATCTGAACGAGAAAGTCTTCAAAAGCGTATTGTACAATTTTTTGTCAACATTGCTGATGGAAATAAAAGTCTTACTGTTAACCATTTCATGAAAGAAAAAACTCCTCGTCAAACTATCTACAGTATCATAAAAAAATATGAAGAAGCTGGTCATACTGGAGACAAACCAAGATCTGGTCGACCAAAAAAACTCTGTCAAGGACAGTTAACTCGACTGAAACGTCTTGTCAATCACAAGACAGGCATTTCTTTGCGTCGAATTTCGTCAAAGTTTCCAGTCAGCCATGAAACTATTCGTGCATATTTACAAGAAATGAATATCAATTATCACAAAAACAACGATCACCAAAATATACAGACAAGCAACTTCAGGAAATTCCAACTCGTGGGCGCAAACTGTATCGGCTGTTATCGAACAATGATTTTGAATTAGTGATGGACGACGAAAAATATTTTACTCTTTCTGATCATTCGGCTTTAACCAACCGTGGGTTTTATTCATCAAACAAAGAAGAAACACCACATGAAGTCAAATTGAAACGTACACAGAAGTATGAACCAAAGGTCCTCGTGTGGGTTGCCATATCAGAAAACGGGATCTCATCGCCTTTTTTCGCTAAACAACAACAAGCTATTGATCAAACAACTTATTTGAATGAATGTGTGGTGAAGCGTCTGATGCCATTCATTAGCAATTATCATTTAAAAGAAAAAGTTTTATTTTGGCCTGATTTAGCCTCATCACACTACAGCAATATCGTAACTCGGTATTTCGATGAAAACCACATTGAGTTTGTTGACAAGGATTTCAACCCTCAAAACTGTCCTCAGTCAAGACCTATTGAAACTTTATGGGCAATTTTAAAGAATATGGTCTATGATCAAGGCTGGGAGGCCAAGAATATAGGTCATTTAAAACGAAGAATACAACAAAAAATGAAAGAGATCGATATCGAGGTCGTCCAAACGATGTTTTCAGGGATTCGAAAACAACTGAGAAAAATCGCTGATTATGGGCCATATAAAGCTTGTTCTTTATAGGTTTTTGTAGTGCGTTACCTGGTCTTTCTTGTGAAAAAAAACGCTGTAAACATAGATTGTTCATTGAAATAAAAAAACGAAAAATTTTTTGTAGGAAGACTTTCTTGACGCACGTTATTATCAAAAGTACCAAAAACGGCCAAATCGTCTCTCTACGATATCGCCAATGAGATGAAGAATACAATTCCAAATGCTTTACGTACAGCATTCAAATATGCTAGTCATATTCCAACACAATCTGAATCATCTAGTAGTAACATGAGTCATTTTGAGATCATGGTTCGTATACCAGGAGAACTTCCAACAATTATATTGCTTGATAATGTACATATGGATCTGAACGATCTAACAGAAATTTCTCGAAAAGTTACGACTTCAAAAGGAAAATGTAATGAAATGACAGCGCCCGGTGGTAACAAACCTGACAGCCAAACAATTCGTATTGGCAAAGGACACGTAGCTCTTAATTTTCACTACGAAACTTTTACTGTTCCGGATAAAATCGATGTCCACTACACAGGACAATTATTATTTACAAGCGGTTGCATCCGTACTAAAGGCGAGAGAACTGAAAGGTTAAGATTAGATGATGTTGACGCTAACTTAATAGTTGACGTTACACCAAATTGTGCGGGCGATACAAGTACAAAATGGAATTACGCAATAGAGTGTCCAAACAGTGAGTTAGTATGCAAATCCGATCGTTGCTATTGTGGCATGAAACAAAAACCGTCCAAGCAAGTTCTTCCACCAACAGCGGATGGATGCGGAACGCATCGCACAAAATGGAATTATTGGGCAATTCATTGGATTGGAGAGCATTACAAATTTACATCGATATGCGATGAGCATGATCGATGTTATGGAACATGCAATACAAATAGATTAAATTGTGATCAAACATTTTGTTTTGATCTACTGGCATCCTGCGAAACTAGATGGAGCACAGAAGAGAAAAAACTCACGTTCTGCAAAAGTTGGGCAAAAACATACTGTAAAGCCGTCAAAAGTTACGGCTCTGGAGCCTTCGGAAATGCACAAAATGAAGGCTGTTGGTGTGAAGATGCATAAATATTGATGCAACTTTTACTGAAATAATTGTGACCGTTCATAATGCATTTTTCTTAATATTTTTTAGAGTTTTTTCAATAAATAAATCCGAAATGTTTTTTTTTCATTCTCCTCTACTCCGAAACAACATAAACTATTATAGAGACCAATAGAAGTATTATGTAAAATGTGGCTTCTACGACTCTACTAATTTATTACCTTTGACAATTCCATTCTTTTGATGGAACGAAGATATTCAAACATTTATTCCATATTTATCATTAAAATCTTTTAATCAAATTCATCCTTTATTCTTATTATGTATTGGAAAATTACGAAAGAAATTTATACCTGAATTAAATCAAATTATTAAATCAAATGATTTACATGAAATTTATTCGTTTAAAATTATTAAAGATGATCTTTACTTATGGTCATAAATTATCTTTTCAATAGAATTACTTTATAAAAAAGACTATTTTTCTTCTTATTATTATTCTTTTATAATAAAAATAGATTAATCTAATTCAATACCACAGTGAATCTACGATTTTGGGGTTTATACGAAATCCGGGAATATAATGCGCTCTATTTGTTCGATATATCTTATTATATTAGATTTGGATAAATGACTAATTTTACTATTGTATTTACCGATTCGAGATGCTAAAGTTCAATCTTTATTATCAGGAAAAAAGGACAGAAAACATGTTGGTTAAGGAGAAACTATACATCTAAGAAATCTAAATTACGTGATGAAATTCGATCTCGTGGTAAATCTTGAGGATGTGAGTTTCTTTTCTCTTTGAAATAAAATCATAAAATTCTGTAACACATTAAACAGAAATGCGCAAATACGAAAACAAATTGAATCATAGATTTATATTAATCGAATATACCATTGTATAGTTATATTTATTGATCCAATTTTAGATGAATTACACTACCAAATATTATTATTCACTTAATATTTATTTTTAATCAATCAATAATCTCCTTTCAGATGCAAATATCACACAATAAACTGGCTTTATTTAAATCTTATAATCTAATTCAAATTATATCTACATAATCCATCAATACTATGCATATTACCAATTTTTACTCTAATCTACTCGGGCTAAGGCGAGTATATGAGAGTAATGTACTCTTTGTAATGATATTATATCTATTTTAACCCCCTGGGGACGGGCGACGTATATATACGTCCAGCTTCAAATAAACTAATAACTAATTAGCGTACACTTCTTACTATTTTTTAAAATAATTTACCAGTCCATAAATCGTTAATCTGTTTTACTACCATTTATATATAATGACCTTATCCCTTATGCACGTATATCCATCACTTCTGTTCTTTCATTACGTCATCTTTCACCGATACGATGTACGACTTATTTTTTATTTATCTTCGCACTTATTCTTTCTTCCATCATGGATTTTTTTCTAGTATGTTCTTGTTCTGTCCATTCCATTTACATATATGTATATATATATATATACATGTATGTATTTTTATCGGATAATAGTAAACTACGGCTTGTGAGTGTAGAACGTAATAACACACTGTACACGTTTTTTGTTTCTCTTCTAATTCGAAATAACAACATGCAGAAAGCGCAGCTATAACGAAACTGATGATATCTCTAGTAGTGAATCAGAAACTGAGTCAGAAATGATACAAATTGATGGAAAAAACCACGTATATGTATCATACATTTATGTAGAAGTGAAACTAAAACTTACTTATTTTTGCTTTTATGTATTATGTTTGTCATTTTGTGAGTATTTTAGCTCAGAAACACTTTAATAGTGTGAAAGAAACTTGGATAAATTCATATAAGCTTTTAAAAGTTTATACTAATGGAAATCGAAGAACAATAGAATTTAACAAAAACTAAGTCAATTTTTATTTCACTGCTACATAATTGTATGATGCATATACGTGATTTTCTCCGTCAATTCATAATCAATATAGCTGAAATTTTGAGAGTATATTAAGCAATCAACAATGTATCTATGATAGAAATATCAAAGAAAAAAGCAATAATTAGAAGGAATTCTGAGAAAAATAAGGCGTTCTATTTATTTTGATCAGGATGATATAAAAGTGGACAAATACATGCACTGATTGATTCAAGAATAGACTTAATTTTTGGGTATACGAAAATAATTTTCCTCTTATCTTTATAGAAAAATAAAATTAAAAAAGGTGCATGCTTGTCTACGGTGTATCGTGTATTCCACACACTATCGTTATTTTCCCAGATCAAAAACGCTCGTCAACAAACAGTCAAACCTCTGAATTTAAGAAAAAAGATATTTTTGAAAACAAAAAAGAACTTCAGTCACAATCACAACCATAGAAATCGTGATTATCTGAATTTTAATATTTATAACAACATCCAATCAACCAACAACAACAATCGATTTTCCATGAGTCTATTGTTTTAAGTCGAGGTTGAGAATTATTGTTAGATGTTGTGAAACGTTGATGGTTTTTGAGATTGATCGAGTTTTGATCTTCATCTATTTGTCTTGAGTGTTCATTTCCACGTTCATCGGCTATATCAGCAGATATCGACTGAATATTACAATCAGTCTTAGATTGATTTGGTTGTTCCATCAATATTCTATCAAAGATTCACGAATACAAATAATTTTAAAAAACTGCTATTAACATCACATCGATTACATGTTATTTTTATAGGAAGTATTTGATATTGAGTCATGAATATGAGTAATCGAAATATATTCGAACGATAAATTATCAAAAAACACGACATTCTAACGTCATTCGAAATAGAAAGCAACAAAATAGAGGAAAAAGACTGAAGCAATGATTCATGTCATCGAATGGTTTTCTAACATATTTATTCTCTCTTTATGTTTATATATTAACACTCATATCTTATGATAGTTCGATTTCGAAAAATGCACTTCTTCAATTAGATGCTAATAAATGATGGGAAAAGCAGCGTTCTGTTCAAAATGATTGCAAAAAGTAGATAATCTTGGTAGAGTTTTATTCTCGAGAGCTTAAGTAAAGTGAAACTCTCGTAGTTCACAATTCAAAATCTGATAATTGTCTTTAGAGTTACTTACAACAGCTGTTTTATTTTCGAATGTTCAGGAAGCACATGCACAATGACGATGAACAAGAGAATTCACAACAAGAATTCTTGAATGCAACTAAAATGTTAGAAGTAGGAAGTACAAGACTTTGGTACAACTGATATACTTGTTATCAGTGTTAATACTAAATTAGCAGTCTTGAAAATACAGTTAATTGAGATTAATGAAAACTTGAATTGAATAAGAAAAACAAATATAAAAATGAGCGATTAAAATGAATATTTAATAAATTAATGAAAAAAGATATCATATGAATAAGATATAATCTCTATCATGATGAATTATAAGAAATCATGAGAAAACAAGGAAAGTAGTACGCCTGTAATGCCTACATTCGACAAACATATGTATCGCCATTCAATGATGATACACATAAAGTTGTTATATTAAGAAAACTAAAAATTATCAGTTATTATTTTCATTGATTCATCCGAAACAGTGCATATATATAAGATAAAGCAAGTTTTGTAAATAATTTTCTCTTTATATAATGGCTTTAGAGTCGCCGCTAATAGATTAATTCTGATTATTAGTAATAAAAAAGTAAAGAGTTATGAGTTTTAAGATCGACAAAAGTAGACATGGTAAAATTGATTGCTTGATATAAGAAACAAACTTGATCGATTTGCGTTGCTTTTCTTCCGGTTTTTTGCTTGTAATAATTTTTCATTAACTAATTTAATTTCGTTACGATCTAATGAATGAAATTGCTTGAATATTTCTAAACTATTTTCAAAGCATAGAATTGCTTCATCAATTTCATTCATTTCCAAATAATTTGTTCCCATACGATGTAATGTTGTACCAATTTGCGAATTTCCATTTGGATATAATTCATGTTGTGTTAGTAATATTTCTTTAAATATTTGTTCAGCCTGTTTAAAATCACAATGTTTACTAAAAGCAATAGCTAAATAACATTTCGTTAATATGGTTTATGTATGATTGATACCAAACTCAATTTTTTCTGTTTCATAAGTAAAGTGAAAACATTCAATAGCATCTTTTGTATTTCCCATTTCAAGATAAGTCTCACCTAGATCTTGTTTTGATAAGAAATTGTCTGGTGATTGAAGCTTTTCACGCATCTCAAGTGACTTATAATGATAATGAAGAGCGTCATCGAATTGTTTTAAATGTCGATAAATATTTCCAATAACACGAAGTGTACTAGCTACTAATATATGACCTTCTCGATAATTTTTTTTTCTGAATATTGTATGATTGTAAATCATATTCAAGAGCTAAACGAAGATTATTTTTACTTTCATGAGTATCACCAATTTCTCTTAGAACTGTAGCAATAGTTGGATGATCGTTGGGTAAATATTCTTGATAAGAACGAAGAACTGTATCTTGATATTCGAGTGCTTTGTCAAAGTTTCCTTGAGCTTTGTAAGGTTGGCCACAGGCAAAAGTGGAGCAAATTTTTTTTTGTTGAATTTTTTATGTGATATGATGCAGTTTGATGCGCTGAATCCGAATATGTATAATTTATTGACATAGAAAGTCGTCTTCGAGGAGAAATCTTCAAAATACTACAAAAACCGAGGTTTTCGAAAAGTCAGGATTTTCACTCGAAATTTGACAGTAGGGTTTTCAAAAAATATGTTATACCTTTGGAAGTTTCTGCTTCTGATTCAGCATCAAAAACTGATTCTAGGACACTACTTTTTAGCGGTTCGACTCATGTCTTTGTCATTGAGAAAAATCAGTTTTGTTAATATNGAGTGTGTCTTACCTTTACACTTATCGTTTCAATCAAAAATGAGATATATTGGAGAGAAAGAAAAAAAACAAAAGATTTGCTTTTCTTTTCTGACGACTGTTTTCGCCTCTATGCTTTTGCACGTCAACAACAAAAGGTACCTATCCAAAGTACATTCGACCTTTGAAAAGTAAAAGAGTATTTTCTTTATACAAAACATTACGCGCCTCTTTCCACACCCACGGATCAAATAATATCTTCAACAATTTTATAATCAATGAAAGCCTGTTAAAATATGCATCTGAGGATTTTGTCAGGGTGTCGATGAAGATATCACTCTTGAGAGTTGTAACGACAAACTGGTTGAGTAGCTGACCGCTTCTCACGGTATAGATGTTTATTGGCTTACTCACATGTCCAGAATGTGTCTATTTCATAATAAGACACGCGCTTATATAGAGAAGAGGAAAGAGAGAGAGATGACCCGGAGATAGTATGATATAGAGGTGAGAGAATAAGGAACAGAAAGAGATGAACGATATCATTATCGTTACAAGAGTGAGGATGAAACTTTCTGTGCAGTCGATTTTATCGTTAAACAATTAAAAACTGTTAATATTCGTGTATGATGAAAATAGAACAGTCATTTGCGTGTGACTTCCTTCTTTCTTCGGATTTCACAATGCACGTCACGTGTTAATTATATGTTATCAACAAGACAAATCTTAATTTATATTTTTTGTTATGGTGCTGTATTTACGTGTAGCGAGTTTTCGAAATGCAAGGGCACACGAATGATTGGGTAATAGATTAAAAAAGAATCGTTAATTATCCGAAAAAGGAACAGAATTTACAAGTTTTTTCTGAAACCATCTACCATACAGTTTAAAGATTTAGAATTCACTAAAGATATTTTCGATCTGATGGCAATTTCGAAGGCTTTATATTCTACTTTGCAAGTGGCGAATATACAGTACTGGTCAAAAATATAAGAACAAGCAGGTTATTCTTGTTTTCCTCTTTTCTCCACCTGCTTCTCGCCTTCTTGGATTGAAATGTCTATGAATACATATGCATTCAAACACGACCTATACAAATACCATTTTAGAATTTTTTCTGAACTACGTATTTATTTTCATGAAAAAATATCTATATGAAAAAACATGTTTTTTGTACCTTTT